TGCCTAATCAATTGACTACAGGTGCGACACCGGATCCACTCAGGGAGTCAACAACAAATTTACTGTCGCCAAGACATGAAACATCGACTGCAACGATTACTCCGACTACACTGGAAACGTCAACCAGAACTTCATCAACTGCTGCCCCCGATACTTCGGCTATAACTTCAATGTCAACATCTTCCAGAATTAGGACTAATTCAATTAGAGAAGAATCGTCTACTTCGACCAAAATCTCGACTACAAAGTCAATGTTGACCAGGCCGAAAACGACGGCTAAAGAAACCACTCCCTTAACATATGAAATCCAGGCTAGAAAGATAGCCCCAAAAATGTCAGCTAAGACTTTAACATCGGCTACACCCAAAAGATTGACTGCAACGAGAACGTCAGGCATATCAAAAAGGCTTGCGACAATTTGGACGACGCTCGTCCCTACCGGAATTACACGCAAAACACTGACTACAACAAAACGGATCTTCGCATTCAACGTTACCAACACCTGAAACTTCAAATAGAACTGCAACAACACCTCCACTCGAGGAGCTGGCAAAAACTTCACGACGACACTCTTCTGTAGTCAAAACGGCAACTGCATCAACTGCGACGACGACATTTGAAAACCCGACTGCGTTTTCGACACTGTCCACATTGGAAACACTCGTCCTAAAATTGTTGAATACAACTTCGATATCGCCCAAAACCAGAACGCCCATACCACAGACTTCGAGTCCAACTGAATTGATCACAGCTTCAAGGTCGCCTACCCTTAAGACTCTGATAACACGCACTACACAAACTACACCAGAACATTTGGTACCAGCCGAAGGTTACATCACCACTCGAATAAAACCTGAATCTAGAATGCTGTTGATAAACAAGGCATCGACCCTAACGCAATCCACTTTCACGACATCGACTGTACACGTTACGTCGCCTACGACTGAAATACCGGCTCCATCCAAGACGCTGACGACAACCGAGAGGTCCGCCAAAGACAAAGCGCCGACCACAGCTGCAGTACCACTAGCGTCTGAAATGCAGATTACACCCAAGATGTCATCGTCGCCAAATCTCCTGACATCGACTGAACCCGTTACGTCGCCTACGATTGAAATACCGACTCCATCCAAGATGCTGACGACAACCGAGAGGTTCGCTCCTGCCGAAGCACAGACTGCAATTTTAACACCGGCTCCACTTGAAACGTTCATCATACCTAGAAAGTCTGCTCCAGCCGAGGTGCCAGTTACAGTACCAATAGCATCTGAAATACTAACGACACCCAAATTGTCATCGTCGCCAAATCTTCTGACATCGGCTGAACCCGTTACGTCGCCAACGATTGAAATACCGGCTCCATCCGTGACGCTGACGACAACCGACAACCGAAGACAAAGCGCCGACCACAGCTGCAGTACCACTAGCGTCTGAAATGCAGATTACACCCAAGATGTCATCGTCGCCAAATCTCCTGACATCGACTGAACCCGTTACGTCGCCTACGATTGAAATACCGGCTCCATCCGTGACGCTGACGACAACCGAGAGGTCCGAAGACAAAGCGCCGACCACAGCTGCAGTACCACTAGCGTCTGAAATGCAGATTACACCCAAGATGTCATCGTCGCCAAATCTCCTGACATCGACTGAACCCGTTACGTCGCCAACGACTGAAATACCGGCTCCATCCGTGACGCTGACGACAACCGAAGACAAAGCGCCGACCACAGCTGCAGTACCACTAGCGTCTGAAATGCAGATTACACCCAAGATGTCATCGTCGCCAAATCTCCTGACATCGACTGAACCCGTTACGTCGCCAACGACTGATAATACGGCTCCATCCGAGGAACCCGTTACGTCGCCTACGATTGAAATACCGGCTCCATCCGTGACGCTGACGACAACCGAGAGGTCCGCCAAAGACAAAGCGCCGACCACAGCTGCAGTACCACTAGCGTCTGAAATGCAGATTGCACCCAAGATGTCATCGTCGCCAAATCTCCTGACATCGACTGAACCCGTTACGTCGCCTACGATTGAAATACCCGCTCCATCCGTGACGCTGACGACAACCGAGAGGTCCGCTCCAGCCAAATAGTCGACCATAACCTCTATTTCGTCTGCATGTAGAACACTAATGGCGCTAGGTAGCTTCAGCTTTGTCCATCCTCACAACTTTCACTAAACTTGACGCCGGTTGCGCTAGAAATATCGGTTGCCACTGAAATTTCGGCCGCATCGGAAGTGCTGAGTCACTATTGGTACTCTATCTGCGGCTAGAATGTCGACTACTCCTTCAGCAGATGTTGCAACCAAAATACTCGCTCCAAGCTCATGTTCAGCCACACCTCGAACCCCAGCCACACGTGAAAGCCTCGAACAGCTTCAACACCGTCTACTTGTGTAGTCTCGACGAAGTTCAGCAATGCATGTCACTGAGCCGTCCACTGTCCCTGAAGTCGGTTACAGTCAAGAACTCTGCTACATCATCAACACTGTCTACATCCAAAACGTCAATCATACGTGAAATACATGCTACAATTCTGACCTAGTCATCACCCAAGTCCATCATACCCTTGACCGACGCCGACTCCAGCATGAATTACAAGTTATACGTTCAACGTCGTGCTCGTCTGCCACATTATCGCTGATGACTCAAAACCTCAACTACTTCTTCAATCTTGGCTGCACCTAAAACCGAGCAGACCCGTAGTTCTAATTGGATCCGAAAGGTCAACTGTACCAAAATTTTCGTCTGCCGTTTTAGGATTTAAAGGTCTTCTACATCTGCACAGGACACAATTGGGCCCAAAAATTGTGGACA